TTACTGACGGCCCAGAGTCGCCAGAAGAGTTACGCAGACAGGCGACGATCCGAGCTTGAGTTTCAGGTTCGAGATCTTGTCCTCCTGAGGGTATCCCTGTGGAAAGGGGTGATCCGATTCAGGAAGAGGGGCAAGCTTGGGCCCCGATCCATCATTCCTTTCAGGGTGACCGCCAGAGTGGGTAAGGTAGCGTACCGTTTGGAGCAACCTGCGGAGTTGAGTCAGATTCATAACACCTTCCATGTGTCCCAGTTGAGGAAGTGTGTAGCCGATGAGACGGCAGTGGTACCCCTAGAGGACATTCAGGTGGATACAAGCCTGAATTATATTGAGAGGCCGATCGCGATTTTGGATCGAAAAGCGAAGGTTCTAAGGAACAAAGAGGTGCCTCTGGTTCAGGTCCAGTGGCAACATCGGAGAGGGTCCGAGTTGACTTGGGAACCGGAGTCCGAGATGCGGGATCAGTATCCAGAGTTATTTTCGGAGCATGACTTCGAGGACAAAGTCTGATCCTAGTGGGGTAGAATTGTAACATCCGGACTTCCAGGTATATTGTTTATTTATTTATGTTTTAGGGCTATTGAGCAACTCGACGAGTTGGTGCTACAACTCGTCAAGTAGATTCGCGTTGTGCCATGTGTGATTAATGATCTACTCGACGAGTCAGAGAGTTGGCTCGCCGAGTAGACGCTGTGAAGTGAAACCCTAAATCCCCGCGTTTGGGGCCTATTTAAGGGCACTTATAGACTTATTTGCGGCTCATCAGCTGCTTACCTTCACTGATAGAAACCCTAATTTCCCTTTGAGCTAATAGAGAGAGTGTGAGCTAATATTGAGTATCTTGGTGCATCTTTGGAAGAGAAGAGAAGGATTTCAAGCAAGGAACGAGACGAGGTTGTTAGATCTGTTGCTATTCATCCAAGAGCTTCTGTAAAAAGTATAAAGTTTATACCTTTCTCATTAGTTTGGGCAGATCTCATATTATTCGAGATTAGGGCTTCTTTTCTATCTAATATTGGGACTTTGAGGGTATTGTGTTCATATGGAGGTTGGGACTTCAGATCTGGACCTTGTGAGGTCCCTAGAGTCCAAAGGTCCCTGCTTTATTCAGCCTTAATAGAGCTCTTGAGTGAAAACCCCTTATTAGAGCATGTTCTTGGGAAGGTTCTCTGCCTTGAAATCGTCTGAATGAGAAATGAGTCTGAATGGGCTCGCCGAGTCGATGAGCCGACTCGACGAGTCGGTTAGTGTTTGTCCCGATGAGCTTGATCATGCGATAACTCACCGAGTTGGAAGTCAACTCGACGAGCTGAGCTGGAATTTCATGAGACTTCTGAGGAAAACAGGTGGACTCGACGAGTCACATAGATGTACTTGGGGAGTCGGGTCAAACATGGACTGTTGACTCGGACGTTGACTTCTGTTGACTTTAGGGTTTTGGTCAAGACAGGGTTAAAGAGAGTCATGGATGGGTAAAATGGTCTTTTAACCATTTCAAGAATTTGAGAGAAACAGAATAACCTTGAATTAGTTAGAGTTGTGAATAGAGTATTAATTAGAAATAACTATCCTATGTGTTAGGCGGAGATTAGTTCGAGATTCGCGTACGTGGTTACTACTTGCTTGTTTACGAGGTGAGTCTTCTCACGATACTTACCCTGAGTGGTATCTTTGTGTAACCGAGGCGCCTTATGTGCTTACTTATGTATTGTGATATCCTGCATTATGTCTTTGTGATTTATGTTTAGTACTATTATTATGAGCTTATTGAGTTGTGGGACCGGAGGGTCTCCACTGAGACATATTGACCGAAGGGTCATATTGAGCTAGCCTCGAGTGGCTAATGTGATGTGTGTGGTATTTTGGGGAACTCACTAAGCTTCATGCTTACCGTGTTATATGTTATGTGTTTCAGGTACTTCTCAGGATCACGGGAAGGCGCCGACTTGATTGTACACACACCCGAGTCGGAGATATGTTTTTGGAGGATCCTGGATTTGTGTTATAAACAGTTTTTGAGACATGTTTTTGGTAACTTGATGTTTGTGGAAATTTGTGATTTTGAAATGAGATAATTGGGTTTTTAAAATTAAAAATTTTGTTTGAAAATTTACAGTGTTACAACACATATCGCATAGTTAGGGTTCGGTTGGGATTTTGTGGGGGCATCTTTGTCTGATGATGTTGATTGTTCAATCAGTGGTGATGGGCAAGGGACGATACCGTCAACATAACCGATTAAGTTGTTTGTGATAAGAATCGGATGAATCATTGTTTTCCAAAACTCATAGTTTGTTGGAATTAGGGTAAAACCAAACTTATGGGAATTGTGAGAGGTTTTCTTAGCTGTTGTGAAAGCAACAATTAATGTCATTGTTTAGCAAAGAGGAAGATAAAGATCAAAGAAGGTTTTGCGGCAGCTAGGGTTTGAAGGTTGGCCCTAATACCAAAATAAATTGAATGTAATGTTGTATGTATTGTATTATGATCAATGATTACAAGATGGAGAAATTAAAAATTCTCCTATATTTTATTTCTACTATCCTTCTATCCACATCAAATGGTGACAAGTGGACTAAAATATTATCAATTTTATTAAATGTATCATTACATATCCACTTGTCAGCATTTGATCTGGGTACAATGATAGTAGTAATAAAATGTAGGAAGATTTTTAATTTCTCTTATAACATATACATAGAATATAGATATTTACACTTTATACCCTTCTAATACTAAATTTTATTATAAACCGTGTAATATATTATAATTGTGCCCCAAAGATAATTCTCTTGCAATCATTTTACTATAACAATTTAAACAGGAAACGGCATCTAAATTAATTACCACAATTATCAGATTGACTATTCCCACTCTTTGCTGTCTTGCATATAATTAATGTCTTGCTCACATAAAATAAAGGAGAAACTGCATCCGCCATCATGTGATGCAGTGTGAGTCTAAATTATGGAGGGACTTGATTATAGTCAACGGTTATAAGGTTATTTAAGCCAAGTAATATAGGTACGCGTTTCTAAGCAAACTGGCCGGCTTCTATCTATATAAACAGGAACGACGAATCTCCTTCTCTGCCACTTTGCCACACATAATCACCACACTTTAGTGCTTTCTTTTTTAGTTTCCTTGTCGTTTAAAAAAGTCACCAATATCAACAAAACCATGTCTTCTTCAGGGGTAAACCTAGAAAAAATATCGAATTCCACTGGATGAGATCCTTGAGGTCACAAGTAAATTCAGTCCAAAATCTCTGATCGGAGAGGGTGGATTCGGTATGGTCCACAGAGGAGAACTCTCTAAAGACGGGCAAACACGCACAGTAGCAATCAAACGCCTGAATCGGGATGGTTATCAAGGAAACAACGAGTTCCGTAATGAACTTGAGATGGTTTCCAGTTTCCATCATCCAAACATCATTACTTTCATTGGTTACTGCGATGAGGACAATCATATGATCATAGTTTATGACTATGCTAAGAACGGAAGCCTTGATCATCATCTCCAAAACCCAGATAAGATGCGTAGCTTAACATGGGCACAACGCTTGAAGATTTGCTTAGGTGCAGCAAAAGGGCTCAAGTACCTTCACTCAGGTCTTGGGGAGCACAATAGAGTAATTCACAGAGACATGAAGAGTGCAAATATACTCTTAGATGTCAATCTTGAAGCTAAAATATGTGATTTTGGTTTGTCAAGATTTGGTGCAAGAAATCAAGAAGAGACCCAACTCTTAACAAAGGCTGCGGGTACAAGGTATTACATGGATCCCCTTTACGCTGAAAGAAGCAGGCTCACGAAAGAGTCAGACGTGTACTCCCTTGGAGTGATTATGTTTGAAATGTCGAGCGGGACACTGGTTTATCTTGCAAAGTGCTTTGGAGATGATGATAACCCACAATATCTCATTGATGTGGTCCGGAGCTGCTATGACGATGACAAAAAAGCTGCCAAACCAGACAAGTTAATTGATCCTGATATTAAAGATCATACTGATATGAACTCTTTTCACACGTTTAACAAAATTGCACATGAATGCGTTAGCCTGAAGTTAGAGCAACGCCCAACGATGGAGAGGGTCATCAGGAAGATTGAGCAGTCATTGACAATTCAATTGGTATGTCTTTTCATTTAATCATTTTATAGGATAAACTGTTCCATAAATTTTCGGTGATGTGATATTGTTTGCGGGTACCACAATTAACTCCGAGATTTTAACTTATTATCCTTTTCAACCTTTCATATTATTATGTTTTTTAAATTGTAATTCTCATATATTACTTATTATTTGTATTTATATTAAAATTAAGAGAAATCAAATATCCTCCTATTTTTTTAATCCTATCGATTGGGATGATGGATAAGAAGAATAAGTAGATGGATATTTAATTTCTCCATCAGTTAATTAGAATAATTATTATATAGCCTTATTATTATGATGTTTTAAAATAAAGGTTTTAAAGGTAACAACTAACAAATCATTTGTACATTATCTTTTTGCATATAAAAGAACAAACACATTCTTATTCATGGCATTTTTTCGATTTCCTATAATATAATAATATAAAAAAGACACCACCAATATTTTCCAGGTCTTTGTTTACAAATAAAGAGGTGTGATTTAATCAAACTCTGTTATGTTTTTATTCACAGAAACATCAGGAATCTGCCTCTACTACCACCACACGACGCCTAGAAAGTTTTCTAATTCCACTGACGGAAATAAACTTGGCAACCCAAAACTTCAATCCGGAAACACGTATCGGATCCTACGAATATGGTGTTGTCCATAGAGGACAACTCTATGAACGGTGGCAAAACCGCACCATGGCTATCACCCGCTTGAATTCAAAAACCTACCTAAGCGCATGGGCCCAAGATTTTAAAAAGGAGCTCCGGATGATTTCCAGTCTTCAACATCAAAACATCTCCCCTTTCATCGGTTACTGTGACCAAGGCAAAAAGAGAATTATAGTTCATGAATATGCTGTCAATGGAAACGTTGCAAATTATCTCGAAAACAAGAGGAATAACTTGCGTAAACTAACATGGGCACAACGCCTGAAGATTTGCCTAGGGGTAGCAAGAGGACTCCAGTGTCTTCATTTGTCTTTTGGGGAAGACAACCAAGCAACACGCGGGAACATTAACTGTGAAAGCATATTGTTAGATGAAACTATGGATGCCAAAATTTCGTTTTTTGGTTTGTCAAGACAAGGTCACACAAACCCCAAACCTGACGAATACATATCAGACATGTATTCATTTGGCGTAATAAGGTTTGAGTTATTGAGTGGACGTCGGGCTCATGATTTAAACGAATATGCTGAACCAGAAGAGCAATTTTATCTATTTCAAGAGTACTACCGCAACAATGATCTCCACATATTCCTTGATGAGTATATAAGAGATCAAATTGATAGCCGTTGTTTGAATATATTAATAGAAGTTGCATATCGGTGCATAAAGAAGAGCCATCAGAAGCACATTATGATGAAAAAAGGGGGACTAAACAGTGGGAGGGGGCCACCTGGCGGCAAGGATCCACGTACACACTTTACGATGGATGAAGTCGTCGATAGGATTGAGGATGCAGCGGATTTTGAATCAAATGAAAAGTAGTATGGATTATACAACATGAAAAACTTTCAATTTTTTCTGTCATATGTATCCAAGAAAATTTCTAAAATCAGTGGTGTTGATTTTTAGTTCTTTTTATAAATCAGCGATATTTTTATGTGTTTTTTTTAACAAGATTTTATTGACGAAAAGCTAGCCAGGAGCCAGGATTACACATAATGAAAGCATACCCGACTATTGATTACACCGATCAAACACTTTGATAATCTCTTTTGTAACTCGACTTTTAATATATCTTGTTATTTTGTGTAGTTCCATTGTACTCACAAAAATTTAATGACACAAGATTCTTGATCTTGTCAACCAAATTTTTGCAAGCTGCAATACACTTGACCTTGTTGGAATCAACCCCTTGAAGCTGGAGCAAAACAGAAAGCAGAGTACAACGGAGAAAGAACAGGGGAAGCTTTTGTGGCCAATCTTTCTTGATTTATTCCAAGTGTTGTCAAAGAAAAATAAATGAAATATAGGTTCTACTTGACAGAGAAAATCCATAGCAACTAGCAGCTGGACTACTATATATCATGAACTACATCTATTAAAGATAAGGACTATATGGCTAACATGGTCTTTACGTTATATATTCGGAATGAGACAATGGATGAAAATACCCCTACATTAAAACTCTATCTTTTGAACAAGTTGGATTAAATCCAATATACTCTTCCATAATCTGAAGTGTTCAGGTCAAGTCGTTCCATCCAAATCCATATATGATTACCTGTTTTACCCCCATCAGGTCTCTCATCTCTAGGAAATGTGTTTTACCGATTGACTTAGTGAGAACATCTTCACATATTTTATATATACTTACTTACACTAACAATTGTGGTGGAAATATACAAATTAATCTAAGGCAAACAAACAACTAAAACCTACAACTATCCTTATAATAAATAATAAGAACAATTATAAGAGGGATCACAAACACTAACCTTTAGCAAAATCGATTCGCTTAAAGAACCTTTGATGAAATTCTTGATTTACTCCAAGCCAAGGAAGATAGTAACCAAAGTAGATTACTTATAATGGTTTACACCCAACAAGTCCAAATTATTATATCTTATAAGATTAATACTTAGAACAATAGAGATTCAATAAGGAATTAACCAAGAGAGAATAGAAACTCTTAGAGAATAGTGGGATGAAAGTATGAGGTGCTAGGGAGGGGTATTTATAGTTCTGATTGTTTAGAAAGAAAGTTGATTTGGATTGGTAACTAGATAAAGATAATAATTAATAATTTAATTTATCAAAATTTAAAATCTCCTTCCAAATATAGCATTTGACAAAAATTCCAAAGCTTATCCCTTGCTGATTTTTGGCCCCCATCATATGGGATCCAGAACCTTCCATTATTCAACTATTAAATAATTAACATTTACTGGCTATAATATTAATTAATTTGAAATTAATTCTAAATTAGATTCTAAATAATATATCATCACATGAATGATTAATAAACTATTTCTCTCTTTTTCCCTCTCTCTCTCATAACATTATAATTCTATTTAGTTCATTGGGGGTAACCCAAAAAGGAACTTGCTCTTAATGTAAAGTTTTGTCAATTAGTTACGACATTGAACACTATTTCAACAGTCTCCCACTTGGACAAATCATCAACTATTATTGGCCACAAGGCTCCTACTTAATTAGCAAAGCGTGCATCCTTAGCAACTGTCGAACTCTGAATCATGTTCTTAGACACAACTCATAGACAAGTGATCAGTTATTACTTTGTTCTACAACATATCATATGAATCTGAGACTTGGATATGAGTCAATCTCACGGTTCAAGATTATGACTCATATGTCCTAGGATACATGTATATATATTGTAACATATAGAATAGTGGGTAACTCACGTGGATACACTCTTAGAAGATTGATAGCTCTCTAGCAACCCCACTGGCGGGCAAAGCGCCTAACGAGTATTAACCTGTAAGATTATTACTTATCAATCATTATAACAAGCTGGTATTGAAAGATAAATCTTTGAGTAATCTCAATGAATTACTATAAATTCTATCAAATAAGCATCATCCAAGCGTAAAAGTTGGGAGGCAGGATCATTTCGGCACATAGCTTTTCTAAAATTTAACAACCAAGCTAACGTGACCATTCTAGGCACCTCTCCCATAAGCTGATAACTCAGCATTATGACTTGAATTACTGATAAATTTTATTTATACATTCATAA